GTTTTCGATATTCATCCTTTGAGATCAGAGWCGGGCTCTGATTTACGAATCTCCAATTGAGGAATATTACTCAAAAATTATCTCAAAAACAATCAAGATTCACTTCAGAATTTAAAGAATCTGAATTGGACCGTCATCATTTGGATGAACGCCTACAATTTAGAGGAATAGAAAGGTCAAGCCACTTATTAAAAAACACTGCCAACTGAAAAATCAGAGTAGAAACAGCTATGGATATTACAAGTTGAGTTATCCGACAAGAACTACCGTTGAGTAATTTTGAAAAACACGACTAATGACTAGAAATCAATCCCATGTGACGATACCTGCCCTCCCCTCTTCCTCAACACCAACTCACCTCATCCCCCTCAAACCCTAACCCAACGTCTTCGGGGAAAGAGAGACACCCCTCCTCCCACTGCTAGCGACGAAAATCGACACACTGCTAACACCGAAAACTTCGACGGCCGTTTCAAATCCTCCAAGGAAAATCAGAAACGGTGTGGCACCTCCTCACTAAACCCGTCAGTGAGTCGCCACAGAAGGTTCGAACCACCATAGTAACCACTTACCGGTGTTGAGGAAGGGGGAAACACGCCAGACTCCCGCATCCTCATTCCCACATCACCATGCTGCGCCCAGCAGCCATCTCTCTTCTTCAAGCGACACACTCGAAATTCATGGCGCGCCCAAGATCTTCGATATCTCATCATCCACTGGACCATTTGCGCTGAGATTTGGACCACCTCAGCTCCTCGACATAGCCCATCGGCGGGCCAATTTTCAGCTCAGGGCGCGCGCCCAATCGCGCGCAATCGTCGAACGCGCGCGCGCCATTTCCCTTGCTGCATGCAATTTTCCAGCGCGCGGCTCCTCGCCTTGGCGGTAATCCTGGGCGCTCATAGGCCCGAAATAGTCACTGCCTGAAATCTCTCTCTCTCTTTCTCTCTCTCTCTCTCTCTCTCTCTCTCTCTCTCTCTCTCTCTCTCTCTCTCTCTCTCTCCCCGAAACAATAATAATAAGAAGCAGAAGAACATTTAGAAGAAGAAGGAGACGAAGAAGAGAGTAGAGGCTATGGAGGGTCAGAGAAGAAACAGGGAGCAGAAGAGGAAGAAGAAGAAGAGCTCTCCTCCCTGCTGCGGGTGATACTCATGAAGACTGACCGGCAAAGATGGAGGCTCCTCTGATGCAGTCGCTGGAGTGGAGTCCAGCTATGGCGCCCAGGTACATATCCACCTACCCTTGCAGCTATGGCTCACCAACCTCCGTGCTCCTCACTACAACTACTCCTCTACTGCTACTCTAATGCAGCTGAACTCCCAGCTGGTGCTGTTCTCCAGCAGTGTGTCGCCTGAATGAAACGCTCCAGCTGAATGTTACCTTGATGACTGGCCCAACTACATACCGCTGGGTCTGGCTGGACTCAATCAGGACCGTTTGATGTAGTGTCTGATCGATGGTCCTGATCACAGGCCCAAGTCCTGGTCCTACGATCCTGGCCTAAAATGGCCTGACTAGGTCCCTACCGGGCGTCCAGGCAACCCTGCTGATGCAGCAGGGTCCTGAGGACTGTGCCAGGCGCAAACAGATGAATGCCTGGTCCAGTCCCAGATACAGACAAATCTGAACCTGGCCTACATATGGCCGAAACTGAGATCCGGTGGTCAACAAAACGCAGTTCCAAACTCAATCAGCAAAAATCAATCAATAAATAAATAAATGTCTCCATGCGGCCCAGAATAAGGGGCATGCGGCCAGGGCGGCCAAAAGGCCAAAAGTCAGGCCTTTGGGCCAGTGTGGCAGGCCCCAGCATACTTCTCTCTCTCTCTCTCTCTCTCTCTCTCTCTCTCTCTCTCTCTCTCTCTCTCTCTCTCTCTCTCTCTCTCTCTCTCTCTCTCT